TGGGATATCTTATATTTATTTGCAAAATTGATGGATATTAGAAGTTTAGCTTTATTTTTTGTTAAATTATTGAATATTAAATATAATATACACTACACAAATTAAAAATATTATATAATATCAAAATGTGTTCTAACGTGCCGAAATTTAACATTTTTTAAAATTAACGTGTCAGAGTGTCGTATCGTGTCGTATCTTGTGTCCCGTATCGGTGTCGGTACAACATAGATTGTATATTCTGTTTGGATAATTTTTTGTTTTCTTATTTTTTTTAAATTGGCTAACAGGCTAAACCAGACTTTTATTTTTTGTAAATAAGTCAGGCCACACACCAATAATTATATTTATAACAGGTAACAGGCTTGGTCAGGCTGATATATTTAAATACAGGCTTAGCCTTTTAAGACCAAAGCTCGGCTTGGCTCGGCCCGTTAACACCCCTATTGATTACATAAAAATTTTAGTTTAAAAGTTACTTAAAAGGCTTTAATGTTTCTATAGTGAATGTAGATAAATTATCTACATTCATTTTTAAAACAACGTCGTTTTGGGTTAAAAAATTATAATAAAAAAGACTATTATAATTCTGAAATAAATTATAATTACAAAAATATATTGATTTCCGCCTCAAAGCGACATCGTTTTGGGCTCAATGTAGATAAGTTATCTACATTGACTGTAGAAAAAACGAACCCTACTTAAAAACATATATTTCAAAAAACTTTCTTTATCTCTACTGCTCTTCATTAAAAAAAATACACAATTCAAGAAAAGCTGATAAGAGTTTAAAAAAAAAATTCTATGTACTTTTGGCTTTTAGCTTTTTTTTTATTATAAAAAAGAGTTTTTTTTCATTATAAGAGCTTTTCTCAAAACCTATTTAGCTTTAAGCTTTTTAATGCTTGTTTAGATCATCTTATTTTTAGCATAAGTTAAGCCAAACAAGTTTTGAGAAAAACTCTGATAATGAAAAGTTCTTTTTTTATAATGAAGAAAAAAGTTAAAAATTTCTATGATAAGTTTTTTTTAAGCTCTTATAATTGTGTGTTTTTTTTGGAATGAAAAGCCATAAAGATAAAGAGAGAGAGAGATTTTTCTTGAAATATGTGTTTTTAAGCTAAATTTTTTAAATAATCACTAAATAGCTTTTAGTTTTTTTTAAATTTTTTTTTAACTTTAACTTAAAAATAAGTTACAATTTAAAAAAGAGACGATACAAATAACTGAGTGGTGACCAACTGACCATCTCATACATCTCAACGACATACCAATTTTCATATTTTCCCTTAATAGTATGAAGGATTTAATGGTCACGTACCTTTTTTTGCTATTTCTTTAAAAAAATTTCCCTTTTCTCGTGGATAATGTGTATGGTGCGATTCTTTTGAACAAAAACCAAAAAAAAAAAAAATATATACTCATAGAGAAAAATTCATTAGAAAAATCTTAAGACGTTATATTAGATTAAGATTCTATAGAATTTTAATGGATTATTTTTGGATAAAAAAATTCTTGATTATTCAATTAAAATTTTAAAGGTTTATAAAAAAGTCATGTGATATTCGATTAGGATTTTAAAAGATTGTTTTAAAGTTTGTCCAAATTCGATGTATTCAATTAAAATTTTAAACAAAGGAAAAATAATCTTGTGGTATTAAAAAATTTGATAATTTTAATGAATTTTTTATTAGTGTAGATTTTATGAAGATTTTTTAGTGAAAAATATAAATAATATATCTCTCTCTCAATCTCATCATAACTCCTGAAATTTCTTGAGATTTTTGTATTTAGTGTTTCACAATCTACCCTAACCTTTTATTAAAACTATACAAATGAATTGTTGTTAATTGGAATCAGAAAATTGTGGATTTTTTTTTTTATAAAAGTTGATACTGTATAATTAATAGATGAATTTTTTTATTAAATTGAGAACTTTTAGGGCTTTTGTTCTACGTGTCAAGATCTCTCTATTCATATATGATATATGTGCTTTTGTGGAATATTGAAGCAGAATTTGTATTATCAAATTTTAGGGTTCATCATAAAAAAAAAAAAAAACCTTGTTTAAAACATTATTTTAATTTTTCGATTTTTGTGTTTCTTATCACCACTTGAATAGTTATACACTTTTGGATTTTTTTAACATGCACCCGGTGCATGTTTTATTGGATGCTCCTTCACCAAAAAATGAAAATTTCTCTTCTATTTATGTCTTTATCTTAAACTTGAATTGGCACAATATCGCGAAGTGGCCCGGAACCGAAACCTATGAGACTTCTCAACAGCTTCCCTCCCAACTACTCTATTGTTGATCGAATTAACTATTCCGAGGAGCGGAACCCTATTTCCTGTGATTGGTGGATCCAATCATTTTGCCGCCGGGAGGTCCGCTGTCTGGTTGATTGTTTAAATTCCTTTCCAGTCCTTTTTTGTTTTCATTTTTAGACAAGTCCCACCAAGGTCGGGACCGCAAAAAATGAGCTCTACACTTTTGTGCCAGTACACAAAAATCAAAACAACTTCACATTTTATATTGAAAAGTTAGTTTTATATTACATCGGAGTTCAACGCTACCCATATTGAAAAGGTACCTATAGACTTACCAAAAAAAAGAAAGAAAAAGAAAAGATACCTATAGTGATTACTAAAAAACAAAGAAAGAAGAAAGGACTAATTTGGCTAATCAGAATGAATATTTTCTCATGTTTCTTCTAAGGCCGGCAAAATGGGCTGAGCCCGCCCCGCCTGCCAAATGGGGCGGGCTGGGTTGAGTCTTTCAACCCACCAGCCCGCCAAACCCGCCCCGCCAAACCCGCCAGCCCATATGGGTCAGCCCGCCAAGTCATTTTTTTTTTTTTTTTTTTAGGTTACCCAATTGTTATGTAGCTCCGTATCTTAGATTTCTCTGCTTGCAAGTGGCTTTTTTGAATTGTTGTGGACTGCTCATACAACACTTTGTTACTTGTTTTGTTATTCTATTTTATCCTGATATGATTTTATTTTTTTATTATTATTTTTGGATTGAAAGATGCATATTTATATGCAGATTATTAAACACTGATCTTCTTGGTTTCATAAGCACATTAGGATTGCCGGGGCGGGCCAGCCCATTTTGGGCGGGCTAGTGGCGGGCCGGGGCGGGCTGGCCCATATTGCCAGCCCTAGTTTCTTCTTTTGAAACGTTTTTTTTTTTTTTTATAATGTTGTTGCAAGCAATCTTCTCTGTCATGTCTTCATCTGTCGTTTTAGCACAACCAAATATTTCTTTGTTATTAACTCTAATTTTGAATGCTTGTTAAAAATTTATATGAATTTTTAAAATCTTATGAATTCATATTGTGCTTTTGAATTTTATAAATTCTATTAAAATTCTTTAAAATTTAATTTTATAAATTTTAATTATAATTTTTTTTTTAAAAAAAGTCTTTAAAGTCACTACAATTTTAGATAATCTTTTAAAATCTTTAAAAAAATTTAATCAAAATAATTTTTTAAAATCTTAATCTAATACATCTTTTTTATTCACGTATACTTACAACACATCACCGTACTTTTATACAATTTTAGCCATTTAATTATAACTTAATTCATTTTATTCTTTGCACACAGTAGGACAAGGGATATGATCTGAGTGCTTAAAAAAGACAGACACAATGGAACTTACTATGACAACATTATTTTATGGGTTGTATTTATTTTATGTTGTAAAAAATTAATTATCTTATGTTATAAAAATAAAATTACAAGTGAAATCCACGTGTAAGAGGAGAGAGAAAAAATAGATGTGAGACTCACCTTTACTTTGTGTATGTAAAAAACTTGTATATCTTATTAACATAAGATAAATATAACCCTTATTTTATATTTGTTAACCATAGGAAGTTAGGAGCTTTTGTCTAACCCCAAACAATCGTATCACTAAAATAAAGGAATCTTTACATTCATGATATCACTAACTGTCTTGCCTCAATATATAAATAAACGAAAATGGATCATCTCACGTGTAATTTAACATGATAATGTCATATGGGAGGATCTTAACCATTAATAATTAAATCAATAATTATAATTGTGTAACTTCCTATCCTTATATTTTTTCTCACTCATGTATAATTATGATTGTCCCACGTAACATGGTCATGCTAATTAGCATACAATAGAATCCACTCCCTAAATAAACATGGGGAAAAAACCTCTATTTATTTTGAAATACTAATTGCTTGAAACTTTTACTTATTAAAGTCAATATTCTCAATTATTAAAAAGTATAAGTACACTTAAAATCTTAAATAATTTCTTACTTTATTAATACTTTAATTTTATTTCATATGAATACATATTGACGAAAAAAATTGTAAAAAATGAATAATAAAACTTTTTCACAAATATCTTGAAACAGGTATCTTTTTTTTGGGTAAAGAAACAAGGTATCTTAAATGAAGCAAAGTTTAAGCTCCAGCCAAAATTACAATATAAAAGGAGCAAATATATTGTACCTTTTTTTTTTTTATAAAAGAAACTCTTTCGAAATTAATGGAATAAATATTGCCTAGTTATCAGCTATGTACAAAATTACCTTCTAATAATTTTTTTATAACAATAGTAAATGTCTAGCATTGATTGACATACGCTTAAATTATTTTTATAAAATTATTAATTTAACCATCATCTAACACGCTTTAAGTTTTGGATTGAGTTGGTAATCAAATATTCAAAAGCTCGATCCTCACATCCACATTATATTAATAAATAATTAAATATTAAAAAACTTCTTAACATAGATAGACAAATACACAATATCCACCCTTCAAGTTAATGAAAAAAAGAGGCATTAGAAAAACATAATATAAACCCATTAATACAACCATCACCTACTAAATTCAAGTTTTTATCTCTTAACAACATGAGAACAACTGACACTTCAACCCGATTTTAGCATTAGTTCAGCAAAATAACAGGCCATTGAACACACCAAAATGGATAAATGCAATTAAGAGCAGAAGCAGTAGGCAAGGAGTTATTATAGCAATTAGCAAGTAAAGACGGGTAGCCCGAAAATAGCACGCCTATATTGTCCAACGTTTAAAGAAGAAGATCACGGAACACTAATCATAAAAATCATCCAACAAAACTGTAACAAGAAGAAAATTCCTATCCAGCTATTAAGGTAATGTATTAAGCGCGATTACAAATTCACTGAACTGGAAAGAAAAAAAATTTCCTCAAAATACACGGTAAGATTTCCCCATGGTGCTCTTCAGATACAAGCATCTAACCTGAAACCAACAATAGTTTGCATTACATGATTGACAGGTTCAACCAGATTGAATATTCCAAGAACATGAAACAGCAGAAAACAATTCAACACGCAGCACTATTCGCAAATCAGGTCTTGCCAAGCATTCCCGAAGTTATCTGAGGCAACAAATTCAACAAAGAGATGCAAACTAAAACAGAATTTGCCAAACCGGTGATTTGAGGTCACATTATGTACAGTGATATACTAGGAATGGAAGTTGAGGGCATTATTGCTAGCTTATTGTCGAAAGCAGAAGGGCAGGGTAGGGGCCAAAGAAGCAGAGTATTATCTTACAAACCATTAAACCAGAAGGTAAAACCCAGGAGCTAAAAGCATGGATTCAACCGAGGCTCATCTAATATTGAAGACTATTCTTATACTAGATGAATCCTCAATTACACCAAATCTAAGAACATACAAGTATATAGCTTTAAAAAAAAGCACAGTAAAATAAAAGCTTTAATGATTTTACTATATGTCATGAGAGTGTATTACTCACATTTTGCCAGTTCTTTTTCAACAAACTGACAAGGAAGTTAACGCTCAGTTGCACATTTTGGAAGATTTGCTTTTCTTCCATGCTAACATTGCCCACTGCTACTCCCATGCAGAGCACCTTCTTTAGCTGAAATTTTACCATGGCCTTAGTCTCATTAACCTTTGACTCAAGAGATTCTTGGTGAGTGACAAGTGTAGGAAACTTCCCTGGAAAGTCATGCAAAATATCAAAATCAGCTAAAGCAATAATTGAAATGTGAAAGAAACAGACAATACAGAAATTCTTTCAAACAAAGCAATTCACTACAGGCAAGGGAAGCGGGTGGATAGTGCATCAACCAGAGGATACAAGAAGTCATTAAAGAGATTTTTATGCAGTTAGTACTTCAAAACAAAATATATATAGAACAAAAGTGGCCGGAGATTAATAAAAAGACTGCAATGCCTCATTTTAAATGATAAAAACAGAAACAAATCACCAAGTACAATAGGAATGTGCAAAAAGCTCAAAAGTCAAAATCCTAAAGAAAACCAAAACGTGCCTGCCTTGTTGAGACCAGGACCCAAAAGACGGGGAATCTGCTTTATGACTGCCTCAGAAGCTAAAAAGGCATGGTATTTTTTAGCCAGTTTTTTTACCAGCTTCTTATTTTTGTTGAGCTTTTTCAAAGCTTCAACATCCATGTAGTCCAATCCTATCTTCTCTGCCTGCAGATTAGAGAAACAAACATTAACACAACAAAATTGGCAACAACTGAATGATTATTATTTAAGAAAACTCTAAAGCACACACTATAAAATCACCACCATAAAACCTAAATGAATGACATTGCTCTCAAATACCGGGGCCATAAAATTACATACGCATTGTATCATTTCAAGAAAATGAAACATTACTAAGAATCATTAATTAAAAAAATTAACTAGCACACCACTAAATGGAATACAATAAAGCACCTAATTGAAGATTCAAATTTGCAACTCGGGTTCATTAAAGCACCTAATTGAAGATCCTATCCACAGAACAGTTTGAAAGCAGATAGATACCTCCTCAACGTGTTGAGCATCACCGAGCATGCAAATTTTCATTTTGGGGCGAGGGATGTGGGGCAACTTGACAGAGCCACTAAAACGCTTATCCTTCTGTGGATCATAGTTTTTCAGCCCAATCTGGAGTTCAATGGTTTCAACAAATTTACGATTTTTCTCCTTGGAATCAGCCATGATTCCTGAGATAGCTTCTCTTAGAGCATCACTCTGAAGCTTACTGCACAGTCAACAGACAAAAACAGATCAGAAACCCTAGATTTTCAAGCGCGTCATTGCACTGAACAATTTTGCTCAACATCAGAAACACCATACGAAATGCAACCAACACAAATCATCAATGAAAAATGATGAATAGCAAAACGCATAAACACGCTAAAATAAGAGAACAGAGGGACAAGTAGGAAACGAAAGTAAACACCTCATATTGGAAACTTAGGCTTTTTCGAATCAGCTGTGAAAAAATAATTCTGCACAAAACAAGAAAACAACAATGGTTACGAGCTGAGAAGGAAGACAAATCCAATAGCTGAAAGCTCTGATGAGAGAAGGTACCGCAGGAAAAAACCCTAACTAAGTTTAACGCGGCTGGTGAAGCGATGTAATGGAAAATAGAATGGGCCGGGCCTCACTTTAAGGATTAAACGGGCTTTGCAGTTCTATCTATATTATTTTTAAATTATTTTAATAATTAATAAAGGAAAAAGTATTTCTCCGATCACTGGAGATAAAGTTATACAGTGAGCTCAAAATGATGTCATTTTGGGATTATAAGATTAAAAAATTATAATGATAAAGACTAATATAACTTTGTAATATATTAGAATTACAAGAACACTTTGATTTCTGTCCCAAAACGATATTGTTTTTGGCTCACCGGAGATAACTTATCTCCATTGACCGGAAAAATTCTTTATCCATTAATGAAATATTTTTTTTTTTTTTAAATACAATCATAACACTACCTCATTCAATATTATTCTTTTATCACACATACCCTTCATATTAAGAACCAGTACATTATTGACCTAATATATGCTTTTTTAATAGAAATAAACTATGTGTTCGCTTTTTCTGCAGTTACTGCATATAAGTTATCTGCAGTAAGCCTAATACAACATCGCTTTAGGGCGAAAATCATGGTGTTTTTATAATTTTAATTTATTTCAGGGTTATTATAATCTTTATAATTATAATTATTTAATTTTTCAATCCCAAAACAACGTCATTTTGGGAGTAAATGCAGATAACTTATCTACAGTAACTGCAAAAATATTATTCTGATAAAATATTTTAATACTCTCTTTTCCTCTATAAGTTCTTACACTTTTTTTTTTTGTAAAATTTTATATAAATTTCGATGAGATTATTTGTTCCAAAAATTTCACAATCGCTAATAGGAACGCTAACCTTCCTATTAGCTTTTGGCACTTGGCAATGTCTTTTTTATATTATGAAATGTCTATAAAATTTATGTGTTAGATGTTGAGTTTTGCTCTTTCACTAAAGTTCAATTAGGGTTGGCAAAAACGAGTCAACCTGTCAGGTTGGCTCGTAACCCGTAAAAAATGAGTCAGATTAAGTTGGCAAAAATGAGCTGCCAATCCGACCCGAGCCAGCTTGAAAAAAATGAGCCAACCCGCGGGTTGAGTTTATTTTTTTATATAAAAAAATACAAAATATAATATACAAAAATGAACAAAACCCACACATGATGTCATCTTCCTTTTTCCTCTTCTAAACCTATGTCCCTAATCTTCTCACATCCCTGCTATTTTTATATTGTTAGGCTGTGTTGGCTCTGTTTGGTTCAACACTTGGTAGCAAGTAGTTCTGATTGTTTCTTGATGTTGGTGCAAATTTGTTGTGAAGAAAATTCAAAACTAGAATATTTTGTTTTTATTTCTTATCTTGTAACCCTTTGTTTAATTAAGCTGATGGAAGCCGCACAGCTGGTGCATTAATACTACAAGTTCATCTAAATAGGCTGAAAACGAGCCAACCCGCGAGCAATTTTCGAACCAACTCGCGAGCTATTTTTTCAAGCCAACCCACGAGCCATATTTTTTAGCCAACCCGCGAGCCAAACCTTGGGTTTTCTGGCTAGTTTTTTTTTTCGAGCCAACCCTAACCCAACTCGTTTTTTTCGGGTTGCATGCGGGTTGGGCCGGGTTGGGCCGTTTTGCCAACCCTAATTTCAATTGGACCTAATATGTAAAAAGAGCCAAAAAAAACTTAAGAGTCCAAACTTAGGGTTAGAGTTTCTTGTAACTTATATATATTTTACATTTATAGTCGTCACCCTCCAAGGGTCTTTACTTTATGGTTGAGATAAGATCATCTTCATGATAGTGAGAATGTCCACACACCAACCCTATTCTCCCTTGAGAGATAGTTTGGAAGATCTATAACTATAAAACGATGATGATTCGTTACATCCCAAACCGCAACGGTATAAACGCTTCCGCGCATCCAACTGCATAATTCTTTAAAAACAAACACTGTAACTACTGAAACAGATTCTAATTTTCTTTTTCTTTTTCTTACATGACAAAATCTTGTTGATTTATAATTCTGCCAATTCTTTTTTCGTGATATCCTAATATACATTTTTTGTTTACTTGAAACATAAATTAGAAAAACCTTTATACAAAAATATTGATGTGACTAAGTGCAATCACGTAAAATGTGTAATTACTTTATTTTCTCTTCAAAGATTCAGTGTACAATTGGCTTGATGAAGAAACATGAGGAAGAAATAAAAGGGTAAAAAGGCAATAATCCTAGGTCTCTCAATCTATAAGAAAAGAAAGCTAAAAGAAATGTCTCAAAGAACTTCACAGAGACAACACTAACAAAAGTTGAGGCATTGAAGGGGAAAAAAACAAATGTTTTGAAGTAAAAAGAGAAATAATAACAATTATGTGAAGAGGAAAATGAGGAAGAAAAAAAGGAGGGGGAATATGTGAAGATATCTATACATTGTAGGTCAAGATCGAGAAATGATCATAGTATAAAGAAACTCATTCCATGTATCAGGTAACCCAGGTAGACACCAATGAATACAATCTGCATAAGTAGCCGGGTCAGCTTGTTGCTCTGGACTTAACATCTTCCCTTGACGAATAGTATAAACAGAGGTATGTGCATCTTTTCTAAACTCTGACAAGGTGGTGATGTTAAGAAAGTTCACTGGAACCTTCATTGACTGTGTCACATTGTTGACAACAACAAAAAGCCTACGATCTGTGCCAACTTGTAATGGGGTGGACATGTTGTTGAGAACTGGGATGGTTTCCTTTGCACATTTTATACCATTGTGATTGTCCCAATCTTCACTCCTACAAATTCATATATGCATAAATTAAAAATGTTAAAATTCATAATCTATAAGTCCACTCTATAAAGATTGCAAACATAAAAGTATTGATAGGAGTAGTGGGTCACCAACCAAACTACCAAAGATCTCATGTTAAAACACCAACCATGTTATTAAATAGGATCACAGCAAGGATTTGTTAGTAGTTAAGCTCTTCATAAAAAGACAAATTTGATAACCCAATAGTATACCCCAAAAAGTGGGTAGGGGGGACAGCAAAGAAAACTAACCCATTAAAGGTGATGTAAAAGCATGAGCTAAAAATTAGACACTCATTGGTTTTTACAAAAGCAATGTTTGGTTGTTGACCCAAGAATTAATCACTTTTAAAAAAAAAAAGAATGAAAAAGCAGAAATTAAGAGTTTAGCATTACTTGATATGAAGAGGGGACATGCTCATGAAGAAAACTTTGGTGCGATTTGGATCAATGTTGTCATCCACCCATTGTGACCAAGTCTTGAGGACCATCCCATATGCTATAGGCCGAGGAACTTCATCATAATCCGTAGATCCTTCATCAAACGAACCTCGTCTTTTGCATGTCACCCCACAAACATAACAAACACAAATCAGTTTCATGAATTTGCTCGAAAAAATAAAGGAAAAACTTTAAAAAAATCTGTAACTTTTTTTATAATCATTTATCCCTTTCTAAAATTTTGAATCATTTATCCCCTGACTTAAAGTTTGTTTATCGTTTACCCTCCTAAGTGAGGGGGTAAGTGATAAAGAAACTTTAAGTCAAGGGATAAATGATAAAGAAATTTAAATAAGGATGTAAATGATTCAAAAATTTTATAAGGGGATAAATGATAATTAACAAAACTCATAGGAGAGTGAAATTTTCCCAAAAATAACATACTTAGAAAGAATATAGATTTGGAGTATAAAATGATGTCGTGCTTACAAAACTTTCATGTTTGAAGTATTCATCCACCATATGTAGGTGTTGAAGATTAGATAGTCCACGTTCTTCCAGTGCACTCCATGCTTTTCGATTGATTCAGGCATGATAATTCGGTTCAATATGCTGTGCATCGTTGGATCATCTGAATTTGACTCTACAAGGAATGGTGCCCAATAGAACTCTATTGTAGCATTATAATCCTGCAGACACACAACCAGCTAGCTAATCAATCATAACTATATTTACACCCATTTTTTTGACAACTTGTTCTTTTCTTATGCCACATAAATACATGACCATATACATTTCAATTTAGTGTGTAATATGGAACCGCAAAAAATTTATCCTATTATATAGGGTATTCCTTGTCCCTGGACACAGCTTGCCCCTCCTTAACTACCGGAAATTGTGACAATATTCCAAAGACAGAGCTCGCAGACAAAAGGCAAATTAGTATAAATAAGTGACTTGGTATTTAAATAAGCCAAATTGGTCATCAAATTAGTAGTGTCTAACACTGATTCTATCCAATAAATGTCATAATTAATGAAGAAGAATACATCATCACTTTATCAGTCTCATTATTTTGCTTGTGATTAATCATTATGTGGACAAGAATGGCCAGCCATATTTCCCCTACTTGAACACCAATAAAAAAAAAAAAAAAGAGAAGAAAAAGACAAACCTCAATTCTGAAGATAGAAAGAGAACCAATCTTGTTCAAGCTCTTTCTGCCATGAGGAATAACAGATTGGGCCAGACAAACCATTGATTCCCACTGGTTCCTATTCAAAGAGTCTCCAACAAACATAAGCCTCTTCCCTCTAAGCTTCTCAAGCAAAAGTCTCGGTTTGAACCTTAAATAAGTTAATACTAATTTAAATCAACAAGACCATTATTATTATTATCATTAAAGTAAAACAGAAAACTGAAGAACATTGAGAAAAGAAAAGAAAAAAAGTGAAAGAACAAAAGTGCTTATTACTTGGGCAAAGAACAATCTCTGGGTTGCCATCTCCAATTCTGATAGAGAGAATCACGTCTTCCATTCCTCATGCATGTCACTTGGGCAGTGAGGAACTTGCATTGGTCTTCTTTGTATAAAGGACGGGTCACGTTATCAAGAACCCACTGCCCTGTAAACAAGTCACACTCTTCTGGAGGCAAGACAACCTCTTCTACTTCTTCTTCTTGTTGTTGTTGTTGTTGTTGTTCTTCTTCTTCCTCTTTCTCCTTTGCTACAATGGACTTCAAATCAATCGGTTCTTGGGTTCCTTCAGAATCCTCATCCTGGTTTTTCTCAAGTTGAGCACTTGAATTCTTGGTAACCGTTACCGTGACAGTTTCATTCTTGTTATCCCTTTGAACAGAATCGTCTGTTTCCAATTTCCCTTCTTGGATTTCTTGAGCTTTGGGCCTTGAGAATGGGAACTCAGCTATTGACTTAACGTCCTCGTTGTACATGAAGACCCCAAAGAGGAACATGGAGAAGACCACCACAAAAATGGAGATGCTGTTGTTCTTTCTGCCTTTCATTACAACAGTTTCTGAGTTGAAAAGATGGTTCTTACGGCGAAGAGGCTGCATGTGTGTGTGAGACAGAGAGAGAAAGAGTGAATAACAGAAGGCCCTTGTCTGAGCCTGTGCAAGGACTTGGGAGAAAGAGAAATATAAAGAAATAAATGAACCACATTGGGATAAAGAAACTTTTTTTTTTTTTTGAATAATTTAGTGTTAGGCTGTGTTTGTTTAATTGGGGTTTGGTGAAATGGTGTTGTCTTTGAAGAAACTGGGACAGAAGAGAGAATTGGTGAAGGAGAGTTGGTCATTCTCACATTATCCAGTTCTTTGTTTCTGTATTATTAATTCCTATAATCCATTTGCAACTGCTTTCAACATCTCTCACTCACTCTTTTTCAGGACAATACTTGAGAGAGAGGGATGCTGAGGAGTGATCTTAAAGCCTTAAAGAGTTGGTCCTAGTCTAAGTCAGTTGAAAGGGTGCACTTTGTGATGGAGTTCAGGTTCTTTGTTAGACAGAATGTTGTTGTCTACCAGTCTCAGATTGCAAGGCTATGTTTTGATCATTGATGGTCAGAGACTTTTTTTTTTTTTTGGGGGGGGGGGGGGGGGGGGGGGAGGGGGTGTTGTTGTTGACCTTACCTAATTAAGGGCAAGGTATTATAAACAGGGAGCTTAATTAAGTAATGGACTTTGCATAAATTAGATCAGCTTAGCCATCATATAAAAATACACCTCAATATGTTAACATTTGTGATATGTGATATGCAGATGCTTGATCACCATTGTTTTTATTCCCTTATATAATGCCTCCTATTTCCACCTTTATGTGCATGATTGCAAAAAGCTTTTTAATTTTTACCTTCATTGAGAGGACACATAACATTTTAATTAGGTCTACTTCTATCTCGGTGGATCCCATTCAGAAACCCTGATTTGCTCAACCTCACCTACTCATCATGGTTGTGGATATTTCATCTTTTTAGTTGGTGCAACCATATAAGCTTCTTTTCCGTTTTTGAAGGTTGGAGATGAAGCTCCTTTCGAGACTATTGGATTATCACTCTTTAGCCATTCAACTAGTTGTGTTTGACATAACTAGAACCAAGCCTAAATAACAATTATTGTTAAGGCTAATTAATTGGTAATACATTTTTAAACCAACTCTCAAATTATTAGTATCTTTATGAAGGAGAAAAGTAAGAGCTAAGGAATCCTTTGTGATTTTTTAAGGGTATTGAGTACACCAGCCTCTTGTTTATTGTTATGTACTTGCCAACTTCACTTCCATTGGTTGTTGGTTTGATGGTGGGGACGTGGCTTTTTTTCCAAGTTAAGGCAATATGGATGAATAGCTACAAAAAGTGGTAAGTTTTAAAAGAAATATATATATATATATATATATATATATATATATATATATATATATATATATATATATAGGAGCTCGTTTTATTTTCAAAGGCAAACTACAAAGAGCATCAACGTCGGGTTCTCTCCCCAAATCTCCCCCCTCATCTTCATTATCATTTTTCAACCTCTTTTCACCATCTGATCAATTTTCGGATGTACACATCATAATAGAGCTAAGAGGCAACTTCACTGTGTAAAAGCCAAACATAGCCGATCCCAAAAGTAGGATTAACGACCCCCCCTAGATAAATATATGGAAAATGATAACCCAATTTTGTTTAATAGAAATATAAACAATGAAAGATTGTGGATCAGGTAATGCAATGGGATGAGCCACAACTCGTGTCTCATGTCCACCAGTTTTTGTTTTCAAATTCAGCTTTGTTGGTTTAAGTTTGATGTAGATCTCAATTTTTGGTACAAGAAAAGAAAACTGTAACAAGACATTATGTGGTTAATTACAACATTTCCTTTCTCGAGGTTCATAATAATTTAAGGTGAATCAATACTGAACAGAATGCACTGCATTCATGAAGGAAGCTATTCTTGATTGATCCTTCTGGATGCCATCTGATGCACAAATGCCACTACTGACATCCACCCCTTCAGGTTTGAGAGTAGATAGAGCCTCAGAAACATTCTCAGGATTGATCCCTCCTGCTAAGAGCCAACCATACTTGCTTCTGATTTTTGGTAGTTTAAACTGGGCCCAATTGAATGCTTTGCCACTGCAAAGACGTCTCATGTGTTCTAAGATATTACTGTGCAGAAAAAAGAGATAATCTAACAAGCAGATGGGCATTAAGCTATATAAGAAGCATGCCTTTACCTGCCACCCTTTGCACTATCTACAAGAAGCCAATCAACTAGAGAACATTCTTCATCAGAAATTGTGTTTAAAAGGCTCCCATCCCCATTTGCATGTAGAACATATATTACATGATTTTCCTGAATTAAAGATGGAAAAGCTACCCGAGAACCATATCCATGGAGCTGCATTGTCCAAATATTACGAGATCAAGCATTTAATTGTCATGGAACATACATAAACGTCAGGCAAAAATATACCTGCACATATTCAAGGTTCGATGCATCAGAAGCTCTTAATATTGTGTCTGCATCATCATCCACAAATACTCCCACAGGCTCTGCTCCATAATCTCTTGCAACTTTTGATATCTCCTTTGCAACAGAATGTGAAACAGAACGTTTTGAGTTTGGCCACATAATCATTCCAATAAAATTTGCACCAGCTTCGGCTGCCATAGCAGCATCTTTAGCTGATGTAATGCCACACATCTTAACCAAAGGTTTACTCTTTTCGAGTTCCTTTGACGAGCATGAATCATCTCCCAACTCAGTAAGTTTGCAGGAAACTTTATACTTCAGAGAGAACCTTGCATTAGAAGGTTGCAGCTTCCCTCCTCTCAAACCTACAGACATCATATGTTAAAACATTTAAATAATGGCTCATGTATGAATTATGACCTAGTCCCCTTGCATATTCAATGAAAACTAAGACATGAAATCTAGTCTACATGAGGAGCCAGTTTGGTTCCAGCAAACTTGAGACATATACCAAAAGAAAGACAATATCCTCAGTTAACAAAGAATCAGACTACCTGGAACTGGCCTTTTGTGGAAATGTGCGACTCTAAGTTGCGAGTAACTCCCAGTGGTTGAACCTATACAAAAAGAACAACGTATATTGCCGGGTCAGAGGAATAAAAAAGTTCATGCAGAGTTAGATATAAGTACATGGAAAATTTATTGTCACTGACAATACCTTGAAAATGCAAGATAGTTACATGCATTCAAGATACATTTGAAAAATATGTAGAACTAGACCAGCCATGACATAATTGTCAAAAAACTGAGCCGTTATTAAGAACGACGTTTGAGACTACAAAACTCTTTTTCTATGACTGCAATATAAAAAATAATTTGAATATGAGTTTATGACAGGCGCTATGATATTTAAGGAGAACTACGCCGCTATAAAGTATAAACAGCAATTTCCTCTGATAAAACCTGAATAACATTGGGGGTATGCAATTCCTAAAAATTCTAGTGACTATCAATGGCGGAAGGGAGGGTCAATCAGAAGAACTAATGTTTTGTTATCTCCAGAGAAACCAGTCAAATAATCTGCAGGAACAAAACCTTATGCAATGTATGCAGTACCTCCTGTATAAATGAATTGTTAAAACAAGACTCTACAAGTTTGCAAATTTCAGCAGCACAATAAACTACTGTTTTAGGATCTTTTATGAAACTAACAGAACAAAGAGATTGATTGGGTAATGCTTCCCCAGCAGGGCCAATGCAGAATTACTGTTAATTCTTGATAAATAGCTTGATTTATCAAAATGCATATTACAAAACTGGAAGATGGACAAAAGAAAAACAATAAAAGAATAAAAAAAATAAAAAAAGAATAGTGAAAATCACAAAATCATGTCAGCTAGGAATTTCATCAAACAACTAGGTTGCATAAGTACCAGGTAACAAACCCTGAAATAAGAGTAAAATGAAAAAGGTAAAAGGAGAAACCTGAAAGCATAGTGAAACTTTGGAACTGATAGAACCGTCGTTATTGCTTTCCGGTGAGAAAGAGAAGTAAGGTAGCCAGTGAAGGAAAGCACAACAGAGAACAAAGAAGCGCAGGCAGAAACTGCTAAACGGCTGTGCGTTTTGTTATCTTTTTTTTTTTTTAATCTTGTTGTTTATGCTGAAAACTTTTATTGTGACTTCAATCAAATAATTTTATGGGTTTGGTGTTTGTCATTTTAAATGATATAAGTTATGTCATTTTAGGAGAGAGATAGACACAAAAAAACGGAAATCATGGGAGAGAGAAAGTGAGTGATTTTTTTTTTATTTAAAATTTAAATTTTCTGTGTCTGTATCTCATAACTTTCTATCATTTAAAATGACAAACACTTTTTCTTAATTTTATATAAATAATACGTAAAGCTCATAAAAGAAACAATTACTCGTAAAACTGTTTATTTAAATATACTTAGATTAGTAGTACCACATTATAATTTGAAATATAGTAATATATAATAAATAATTAATACCTAAAAAATATGATTAGTTTAATAATTAATTTAATCATGCTCTAGTTTTTTGAATAAAAAAAATACTTCTTAAAACTAAATTTATGTCCTATTAAAATTTAAATAAATATTCATTATAAAAACTTCAAAATAAAGCAAATAAATTAAATTAATTTTCCATGTATCGTGCATCGTCCTTTGAAAATATGACAGATATATAATTTTTGAATTTAGTGTTTGGCAATTTTTTTTGATAAATTAATGTTTATCATTTTAAATGACATAATTTTAAGTCATTTTTAATAAAATTATATTATTTTGATATGCTTTGTCATTTTCTCTTATTTATAAAATTTGAAATAAAAAGAAAAGAGAATATAAAAACTTATCAAAATGACATAATTTTGTGTCATTTAAAATAATAAATATTTTTCTCATAATTTTTTTTTCTTTTTCTGTCCTTATCAAAGTGCACCTTAAAAAATTTCCAAAAGCCCATGATGGCAAGAGAGTGGTGCTGAAGCTATTGGCGGTGCGAAGTACGGCTAAGTGAGATGATGTTTATCTTTATATGTTATCATGAAGTTAAAAAAAGAAAAAACATTATAGAAAATAATTAATTTTATGTGAAAAATATTTCCGCAGTCACCCGATATAAAGTTATTTTTAGTGAGCTCAAAATGACGTCGTTTTGGGGTTATAAAATTAAAATTTTTTAATGATAAAGACTAATATAACCTTGCAATATATTATAATTACAAAAACACATTGATTTCTGCCACAAAACAACTTCGTTTAGAGCTCACTGAAAATAACTTATTTTCATTCACTGGAGAACTCTTTTATCCTTAATTTATACCTATATAAAATTTAATATGATATTTTCTAAATTTTACATAAAATATAATTTTCATTATCAAGCCAGATATCAATAATTCATTACGAGGGCGTTTGATAGGGGAATTTTTTTTTTTATCAGTAAAATGCAATTAATAGAAATATGATGGGAAGTGAGTTTGATAAGAAAGTTAAAAAAAAATTGTTTGATTAACCAAAATATTACGGGAAAAGTGATATTATTGCACAATATTTTTGGTCATCTTTCTTCCATAAACCGGTTATCTTCGAATACCATATTGGAAATGGTATTGTTGCACAATATTTTTGATCCCAATTTCCTCATAATTGTCTAAAGCTGGGCAAATCAATTTGCTGGCAAATTTTTTGAATATCTTCTACCAAACAAGAACAATATAAAATACCAATCTCAAATGCATGAATATCTTAAAAAAAAAACCCTACTAAACACTACCTATATCTTTTTGGTTTTAGGGGACCACGTTACAACCCAAACATTCTCGTAGGTTGTAAGTAGTGGTAATGCCGTAATGGCCAATTGCTACTTGGAGAGATTTGTTTTAGTGTTACCGCTGTACATGGTCCCTATCCAAAATAGTAAAGATCAAGGAAGTGGGAGGAAATTTAAAAAAAAAGTGAAGAATTGGAAAAAGCACGTTTTTTCAAAAGAAGAAAAGTGACCACTCAAAAATATTGGCCCCGGGTCACTTTAAAAAATCCCCTCCTTGGAAGCCCCAAAAAGATTCAGCAGAACTTCTTGCAAGGGATAATCCGTCTACCAAGAGAAAGCTTTTGCTGGAAGCACCGAATACTGAGTGCAATCGATTAATGGGAAGAGCATATATTAGCTTACATGATTTTTTGAGAAATAAAAAAAAAATATATAACTTTAATATTATAATTATGTAATATCATTAGTACATGATTATAATAATATTTTTGCATAATAATATTTTTGCACCTAATATTCAGTGTTTTTATCGCATTAAAAGTTTTTTCGTCTACCAAATTCACATGTTCCAAATAATAACGGGATCCTAAATCGAAAGTCTTTTTTACCCTTTTAATATGAATTTTATAATTATTTATCAATTTAAACTTTGAGAAAATATTTTCTCCTATTAATGACTCATGACATAAATAGGGTCTACTAAATAGTAGAGAAAAAAATATTCAAAGTAGGATCCACCTATACCACAAGTCATTAGTAGGAGAAAAAAATGGCTCTTTGACCCATTTGAAAATTTTACCCCTTTAATTTTTTAATTTGATATTCGATTTACGATATTTACCAATGAGGTCGTTGAGTGTAGGGATGGCAATTTGGGTTGACCCGCCCCGATCCGCCACCAACCCGCCAAAAACGGGGCGGGGCGGGTTGACCCGCCAAAAAATATGGGTTGTAAAAATGAACCCACCCCGTTTTATAGTGGGTTGACGGGTCAACCCACCAATTTAAAAAAATTTAATTAAAATTCAAAAATAAATTATATTTTATGAATTTTTTTAATATTATTTTATTTTATTTCACACTTCTCTATATTTTTTTTAGTCTCAATCTTAAATGTATACTAATATTTGTCAAACATTCTTTAGGAATTTATAAATAGATAACATTTGTTATAAATAAAATTGTTATTCTTTATTTTTTCTAGAAAGTACTAAGATAAAAAAAATTGAATATCACAAAAATTTAAGTATTAATGAAATACTACCTAATTGTAAAAAATTAAAAAAAATAATAATAAAATTTAAAACCCGGCGAGTCAACATGCCCCGCGGCGGGTTGAACCCGTTTTGACCCACTTCTAGGCGGGGCGGGTTGAGATGGGTTGGTGGGTTGAAAATCTCAACCCAACCCGCCCCGTTTTGGCGGGTTGACCCGCCGGGCTCAACCCATATTGTCACCCCTAAGTTGAGTGACGCGAGGGCGACCAGCGACACTGAGTGCAGCAAACCACCCCCCGCATCACTCACACATTCATTTTTTTTCTCAATTGAGTGACGCCCACTTCTTTGAGGAACTCATAGGATTGTGCCAAGTGGCACAATCTCGTTAGTTCCGTTACCGTAAAATTTCGGAAGACAATGACTCGGGTATCAAAATCAAATAATTTTTTTTTATTTCACATAACTTTTCGAGATCTACGCAATGACACCTCATTTGACATATTTTATTTCTCACAAACATAGTTCAAATTTATAAAAATGTAGAACTATTGTTGCAAATTTGAACTATATTAATGGAAGATAAAATATGTCAAATGAGGTGTCATTGCGTAGATCTCGAAAAGTTATGTGAAATCAAAAAAAATATCATTTAATTTGGATATCCGAGTCAAAAGTTATTGTCTTCCAAAATTTTAGAGTAACAGGACTAATGAGATTGTGCCACGTGGGGAGAGAGAGACATCACTCAATTGAAAAAAAAAAGAAAAAAGAATGTGTGAGTGACGCGGAGGGTGGTTCGCGAATCGCGACATTCAGTGCAACTGGATCCCCTTGCGTCACTCAACAACTCCCATTAATAAATACCATGAATCAAATACCAAATTGGTATATTAAAACCTCAAAAAATCCCTAGTTCAAAGAGCCAGAAAAAAAAAAATCTTAGGAGAAAATGAATGACGTTAAACATTTTGACAAACTATTTATCTATTTATTTGAAGATGCTTAGGATGCCCTTCTTTTCACATTAATTGGTAAATATTTTAATCGATAAATATTTTTTGAAATTTGCCTTGGAAGGATAAAAAGCCAATTCGAACATATATAGCAATTATATTTGAGCACCTAAATTTATACACCTATTATTTTTGAAGAAAAATTCAAATAAATATCACTTCTCCCTTCTTCTCTATCTCTTGCTTATCGAAATTTATAGATGTAAGATGTGTTTGGTACAAGGATATTTGAAAGATTAGTGATACATCTTCTCTACTAAATGTAAATTGTCATGTGTGGTAGAAGTAAACAAACCCAGTTCTCGAATATCCTTAAATTACCAGTAATATCGTATACAAAGAAAATTTATTGTTATGATTATCAAAAATAATATGGTAATCATGATTCCAACACAAAGGGAAAGGAGATCAACAATTTTTGAGACAAAAACAATAATCTTTACCCAATATTCCCGATAATATTTTGACGAACCAAACACTTTTTTTGTAACATTCGGGGTAAACTCAACTTCTATTGTTTTTTCAATAATCAAAATTCCCAGATATTAAAAAAAAATTCTTGTACTAAACACACCGAGGAATGTGTAAGATATTATATCCATCTTGTTAAAATGGTATCTTAAGTACAAACACTAGATTTCTAGTTTTTTAGTTGGGAAATAGTTGTCTTATGTCACATAAGACAACTATCTTATATTGCACTTTCATGGAATTTTGTGCCCATTTTTTTTTCTTTTTTTATTTTTTTTAAATTATGAGCCCACAACTTTATTTCACTCACATAAAATAACTATCTCATGTGACATAAGATTAATAACTCCCTTTTTAGTTTTAGTAAACTTTATGTTCTTTTTGTCAAGTTGTAATTAGTTCTATGTAAATCTAATGTGTGGGTGAAACTATGCTTTCCTCACAGTTTTATTTATCATGGCACAGTGGCTTGTCTTGTGATTGTGGGATGCGACAAGATTGATTCATAATTCTAACTAATGCTCTCAAGCAAAATTATTGAACAAGTCACTAGTTTATTAATTTTAAAACCTTAACTTAATTCAAAAAAAAAGTTTGGATAATAAATCTAAAACAACGTGCAAAAAGTAAAATAAAAAAACAATTAAAAAGAGCATAGTCTATGCATGCACCTATTATAAAATTGCACACTGCCATTCTGCCCCCACCAAATATTTTGGCACAACTTAAATCCAAGCCTGTAACTTTTTGTACTAAGAAATAAAGGCGACAAGCTTGATGTCTATTTTATTTTATTTCTTTAACGAAACTTGGTGCCGACAATGATTATTGCCTTCATAAATTTTATAGAAGGAAGCAAAACTTGAATTTTTAAGAACTTTTGAATATATAATTATAATTAAAAAAATTAATAATTGATTATTTGATTTTCTTTGTTTTACTCATATAATAAAATTACAGGGTGGTGGCCTGGACCCCAGAAGTAAACTATCGCTTGTTCGTGAGATGTTCAGATTAATTGGACCCCAAATCATGCATAATTGATGTTCAGATTAATGTGCAGCTTATCATTAGTCCCACTTCAAAAGGAAAGTAAATGCGTTTATCTTTAAAGAATACCAATTAATTAACTAATTGAAGATTAAACCCGGATTCCCCCACATACTTGACATAGTCAGCATATATATCACTTTGACCATAACCATAAGTGATTATTGAATTTATTTTAAGCTAAATAATTGTTTAATTATCATACTTAAAAAATATCTTAAATATGCATTTATTTTCTGTCAACTTCATCAAAGACATCACAACCTACTCCGCCTATAAGTCTACAAACACCTTATGCAAAAATAAATCCCACTAAATTGTTTCGTGTCTCTATCTATATTGGAATTCACTAGCATAGCATTTATACCTTTTTAAAACCCCACAAATTTCACGTTTTGTTCATGCCCTTTTCAGTTCCCATGCCATAATCTCCATTTAACTTGCACCACATCTCAATCTCATCCCAAAACACATCCATCTTTTTCTCCTTTTTAAATTTTTCTTCTGGCTTAAACCCAACTCTTTGTCTTTGACACAAACACAACTGGCCCTATTGTTTGAATAAAATCAATGAACATGTTTCATAGTTTACTTTTTTTCCTTTTTAATAAACCACGTGTATTCTTTACATAAGACAATCCTGTTCGAACTGAAAACATCCACGTTATAGTAGGACTAACTCACATGGAATTGTTTGCATTCCCACCACACCAAGTGTATCATAGTTTACTATTTATTGATACATGAAGTGTGTATCTCCTACCTTGTAAAAAGCAAGCCCACCAATCAACTAGAAGCAGTAGCAACAATGTCCAATAACCAACCAGAATGGCCTGAACCAATAATCAGGGTTCAATCTTTGTCCAAAAGTTGCAAAGATTCAATCCCTGAAAGGTATATCAAGCCCTCTACTGATAGGCCATCAATAAGCTCTTCTTCTTGTGATGATGTTGATGCCAATATCCCAATCATAGACCTCGGAGGTCTATATGGTGACCAAGATACCCAAGCCTCAATCCTTAAGCAAATCTCAGACGCTTGCAATGAGTGGGGTTTCTTCCAAATCATAAACCATGGTGTTAGCCCTGATTTGATGGACAAGGCTAGGGAAACATGGCGTCAATTTTTTCACTTGCCTATGGAGGTGAAGCAGCAATATGCAAACTCACCAAAAACTTATGAAGGGTATGGTAGCAGGCTTGGAGTTGAGAAAGGTGCTATTCTTGATTGGAGTGATTATTACTATCTTCACTACCTTCCCTTATCACTTAAGGACTACAACAAATGGCCAGCTATGCCTCCTTCTTGCAGGTAATAATATATAGACACAATTAATAAACAAACATCATGAAGAATTTTTCATTTAATTAGTTTATATATAAATAGTATATATATATTGGTTTTGTGTAGGGAAGTGTTTGATGAGTATGGGAGAGAGTTGGTGAAGCTTGGTGGGAGGTTGATGAAGGTTCTTTCAATAAACCTTGGATTGGAAGAGGGGTTTCTTCAAAAAGCTTTTGGGGGTGAGGATATTGGGTCGTGTCTAAGAGTGAATTTTTATCCAAAGTGTCCAAGGCCAGAGCTGACACTGGGTTTGTCATCACACTCAGACCCAGGAGGTATGACTATGTTGCTTCCAGATAACCAAGTACCTGGTCTTCAAGTCCGAAAATGTGATAATTGGATTACTGTGAAGCCTGCTCGCCATGCCTTCATTGTCAATATTGGTGATCAAATTCAGGTAATTAATCTCTCTGTCTCTCTCTCTCACACACACAATTATCCATATAGAGGGAATGCTTGGCCATGATTCATGACACATGGATCTTTCCACGTGGAGGGAAGACATGTGAAGTGCTATTATTGTTTTTATTTTTATTGGTCATTCATTTCGGTGGATAAGTGGCCTTCATAGTGTTTAACATTAAAGATATTTCTTTAAGGGTTCATTTTGGTTTTTTAACACTAAAAGTAGTATGGTATTTAAAAATAAAAATAAAATATCATTTCAATATTGAAAGTTAAGCGCATATACATAAAGTAGATGAACATTTGGCCGAAGGGTTAAGGATGAAGTCATAGGTTTCTTGGCATGACATTATTGAATGAATCATTTTATACTAGCTATTAGCTAAATTGTGACTCTGAAATTCCCTTGTTATAACCTCATCATGTGCAACTAGAACAAATTCTACCAATCATTGCAATACCACTTTGCATCATCTTTCACAATGTTAACAGAGCACCTTGTGATAACGAGACCCAATAGTGCGTCTTAGCTAAAAAATTAATTCAACTCAAAAGTTTTTGTTGTTGGTGAAGACTTTTTTAATAATTTATATTATTTTCTAACGTACTACTCACGTTAGAGTTTTTTAGGCTTGAAATTTTGGTTTATCTTGTGCTTATTTAATTTCATAAATGAGGAGCGATGAGGATTGAATTTATAACATTATAATCACTGAAGTTCTTATATTATGTAAAGAAGCAATTCAACTTAAAATTTTAAGCTGTTAGATGATAGATTTTTTAATAGTTTATATTATTCTCTAACACCTTATGTACACGATCCTCCTACTTTAGAAACAAGGGAAAGGACTAAGGGTTGCTAGCAAAACTGTATAGTGTAGGTTTTTAATATGAACGTATATATCTTTTGCAGCTTTAATTTTAACATGAGTATCACAAAACTGTATTGGTTAATTTGATTTTTTTTTTTTTGTTTGATTAGGTTCTAAGCAATGCAATCTACAAGAGTGTGGAGCACAGAGTGATAGTAAATTCAGATAAAGAAAGAGTTTCCCTGGCCTTCTTCTACAACCCCAAAAGTGATATACCCATAGAACCAATAAAAGAGTTGGTAACACCGTGCAGGCCAGCACTCTACCCGACAATGACCTTCGATGAATACAGGCTCTTCATTAGAATGAGAGGACCTCGTGGCAAATCTCAAGTTGAATCTTTAAAATCTCCAAGATGATAAATGTTCAAGGGCATTCATTGCTTACATTGCAATAACTCCATTTCGAACAGTATCTATCGTTGATATATATAGTTAAATTGGATATATATATATATATATATATATATATATATATATATATATATATATATAGGTAGGATCCTTTGATACCGGTGTCAAATTCGAAATTTGACATCTCATCTGAGAGCTGTTAGATCAAAAAAGATCAACGACTCTAATTTGTAAGCATGTGACACCATTGATCTTTTTTTATCTAACGACTCTCAGATGAGGTGTCAAACTTCAAATTTGACACCGGTGTCAAAAGATCCTGCCTCTATATGTATATACATAGTTAGATATGAAATTGATTAGAAATTACTGTTTAATTGTGTTCTTTTTTTTCTTTAAATTGTTTTGTAAAATAATTATGAAAATAGGTGTTTTTGTATGTTTTTTGTTTTGTTTTGTTTTGAAAGTTAAAAATCAAAACACAAAATAAAAACAACTATTACAAATTTTTAATTTTTTTTTAATTTTTAATTTTTTTTAATAAAAAATTGTTTTTAGAAACTTTCCAAAAAAAAAAAAAAAAAAGTTGTTTACTTCTTTGGCTTGTAATGGCTAAATTTGGAGGGACCAAAAAAGATTCTTCCTAGGTGAGTGAATATTATACAGATTTTGTTTTGTCCCCATTTCCCAACCGACAATTGTGGTGACAATTAAGTACAAAAGATAGGGGGTTGAAGGTTGATCTTTTGTATCATCATATCTACCGTATTTAATATGACAAATAACTTAACAAAGGCCCGTGTCAAATTCATTCTCTGTACTACTAAAATAATTACGAATTCCACTCTTTTTCTTTGCCCCTTGTTTGTTTCTGTTCATGAAAAAGATGTTTCCATTTATTTATGGAAAAAAAAAGTATCCTTTTAGGAAACGTTTGATGGATGGTATTTTTTAAGATTTTTGGGAAACAAAATTTTTTAAATTTTTAGTTTTTGGATATTATCGTAAACTGAATGTTTTCATCATATGTTTGAAAATCGAGATTCTCGAATAAAAAAAATTTTCTCCTCTACCAAACACCACCTTATGACTGTTTAGTATGAATATTGTTTAGAAATGTTGGGAAAGTAGGACGAGGCAAATTATTTTCTAATATTTGGTACGAGGAAAGTGAAAATATTCTCTGAATTTTTTTTCCTCATTATTTTAGTTTTAATTATAGAATCTCAAATAAAATACCATCTGATACATGATATTTTTATTTTCCTAGGAAATTAGTATAATTAATTCAACATTCCTGAAAAAAATTTGGACCTACCAAATATCTTTTTGTAACTTACCTGGGAAAAAAATTCCTACTATATTCTCGGAAATCTTTTTTTCTCGGTAAAAAAAAATATCTCTTTTACCAAACGTCCTGTTAAAGGACATAAACTTGTATTTTTTTAGTGACTTTACACAAAGTCTTACTGGTATAATTTTATGTAAATATGAAAAGTTAGTTTTTTTTTTTTTTTTTCAATCACATCACTGGCGTGTAAAGCGAAAAAAGAATAACTTTTTATTAAAAGACACTATTCAGCATGTAGGTCCATGTTTTATTTGATTTTTTTTTTAAATTCATATATCTTCAAAGTTTGCATTTGGGTCCTTAGAATTTTAATTTTTTTCAATTGGGTCCTACCAGTTAAAGTATTATTAAAAAATTATACAATGCTATAACTCTATAAGCCTATAGTATAACAGTAGGGTTCCATGTAGAGATTTTCAAAACTCTACGGACCACATATTACAAACTTTTTGGGTGCTCGTAGTTTTAAGAATTTTTAATAAGGTCCATTAATTATTATTGTTACAAACTTATAATGATGTTTTTTAACAGTAAGGACTTAATTAAAAAATTTAAGATATATGAATCTAATCATGAACTTTTAAAATTGAAGAACAAAATTAAAAATTATTAACCAAATCTTACATATTAATTCAACCTATTTTTTTTTTAAAATATAATTATATGGTTGTAATGAATTATCTCTTTCAAAAACTTAAGCGTTTCTTCACACAAGAACTTTTGAGCTTAATACTTTGTGTTAAAATTTAACTTTTTATATAAAAAAAATTGGGACGCTAATGATGGAATTGATCATAGATCATTTTGATATCATGTCATAAATTAATTCTCCTAATTAAATATTAATTATTTTATATAGCATATTTAACGACTTTTTGACTTATATAGTTCTAAATTTCAAAAATTTGACCTGAATAAGCCTATCAGGATACTATTAACCATACTAATGCATGACAACGTGCTATGTTAGGCACCGTATTAAGACTCGTTAGGTGCAAAAAAGTTTAAGAAAATGTCACCCTTCCTATCGTGTTTCATTTGAGAAGAACGCGCCATGCATAGGACTGTTTGTAGGTGTCAGGAAGTACGTAAGACGTCCCTGCACTAGACGCGTGTGTAAAACAAGAGGAGACCTAACGTTTTTGGTCTGCCTAAAAACAGCATTGCACCAACCGTGTATGTTGATGTGACAATATGAAAAGGGTACTGATTAAGACGCGTTTAGAGACGGTACGTTTAGAACCGTGTTCCGAGTAAGACAACTACATTAACGGACGTCTGAACGCATCACTTAGCATGCCCCTTTATGAAAACGGTAGCTCAACCAACATTTTGCAAGTAAGACAACTGACATCTGAAAATGGTACCTGCCATAACGTTTGTAAATAAATTTTTTTCTCACACAAAACAAGTCACATTTTGAGTGAGTGTTGTTATCATTTGTAAAATTTTCTTGCTATTCTGCAGCTATAAATACCCATATTGTTTAGTTAATATCGGTTGTGTTCCTTGTAAGAACCTGCACCGTTAATTAAGGAAGTTAATTAATTAATTATGAGAAATTAGGACATAATTCTATAATTGACCCTAATCATTATGATAAGGCTTAAATAATTATGGTAAGTGATTAATAATGCTGAAAGTCGCTTTTCAGACGAAAAGTGCAGATACCGGTTCTACTACTCGGTATAAATGCGTACCGGTGAAGTATCCCAGAAAATTATGAAAAGTGTGTATATGTCACTAGAATAATATATAGGACTTATAAAACAAGTTTCAAGTTAAAATAATGAGAACTGGTGCTAGAACTGATATTGTCTATGAAAAAGCGCGTACCGAAAAGTTGTTGCGAAAAATAAAATAAAAATATAAAAAATCTTAGAAAAATGAGCAGGTCAGATTTCAAAGTTTGGGATTAAATTGCTAAGCGTAACAATTAGCGCTAATAAGTGTGTTTAAGTTTAAACTGACTATAAATAGAACTTTGGCACATAACCCTAGGCCATAATCTGAGTTCTACGTGAGTTTTTGGAGCTGTGAGCAGCCTCCTCTCTGTTCATGCTCTCCTCTCATTGGAAAACCACCAAGTTGTCACCTTTCACTTGATTTCTTCCTCTTTTACCTTGTAAACACTAGAGTGAGTGCCTTGTGAGGATGAAGTTCAGCTTTTGCTGAGTTGAGGGTGCTGCTTGGGAGTAGGGCTGGCAATATGGGCCAGCCCGCCCCGGCCCGTCACTAGCCCGCCCAAAATGGGCTGGCCCGCCCCGGCCCGTTTTGACAAAATGGGTTGAAAGGAGTAACCCGGCCCGTTTTATGAGTGGGCTGGCGGGCTACGGGCCAGCCCGCCTAAAATAAAAAAAATATAAAAATAAAATACAAAAAATTAAATTCTGCATAAAATCACATAATTTTTTTTGCATAAAAGCATACAAAAATCTGCATAAAATCCTAATGTGCTTATGAAACTAAGAAGATCAGTGTTTAATAATCTGCATATAAATATGCATCTTTCATTCCAAAAATAATAATAAAAAAATAAAATCATATCAGGATAAAATAGAGTAACAAAACAAGTAACAAAGTGTTGTATGAGCAGTCCACAACAATTCAAAAAAGCCACTTGCATGCAGAGAAATCTAAGATACAGAGCTACATAACAATTGGGTAACCTACAAAAAAAAAAGGACTTGGCGGGCTGACCCATATGGGCTGGCGGGTTTGGCGGGGCGGGTTTGACGGGCTGGTGGGTTAAAAACTCAACCCAGCCCGCCCCATTTGGCAGGCGGGGCGGGCTAGCCCGGCGGGCTTAGCCCATTTTGCCGGCCCTACTTGGGAGTGTTTTGTGGGCTGACTTCTCTGTTTGTGGGGAATGAGCCTTTGTCCCTTGCTTGGGTGGCTTCAAGAAGCAATTTTTGGGAAGAAAGGACCTTGCTTTGTTATCATTTTTGTTCTCCTTGCAAATCAGACTTAAGGAGCTGTTGAGAGAGCTCCAAGAGCTCCTTCTTGCTCTATTTTGAGCTTGGGTAAGTATCATCAACCTTGAGCATGAGTTTTAATGGTTAAAAATGGAATCTTGATGCATGTATTGAATTAAAGTTAATAACTTGTGGTTGGGTAAGCTTGAACACACCTTAAAATGCATGTTTAAGCCTCTGGAATCGTGAAATGAACCACCTGTGGATTGATATCTCGCGAAATGCAGAAACTGCATTCTGTCGCAAAATATTCGGATATGGATATCCGGATATTGATATCCGGATATGGTCTTTGAGATATCCGGATATTGATATCTGGATATGCCTCCGACATATATCCGGATATTATAGGTTTTTGAAGAATAGTAGCTGCACTGTTCATACAGAATGCTGTTATGGGTTTGTGGACCCTAGTTTGATGAAATGCGACTTATGTAATAACTTATCTAAGTTAGAATCAAGTGGTTAAGAGCTTGTGGCTTTGTGAGAAGCCTTAAGACATGAAATGTAAAGGAAAGACGTTGTCTTTGTGTCTTATACTTGTTGAGTATGATTATTGATATGATTGTTGGTCCAAAATAGATTGTGATTCTGCTGTGTTTGGGCTTTGAGATTGGTTGGACTATTGGCTTGGATTGGTAGCTTGCAATGTAAGCTTTTGTTTCTTCGATTTAGCCATTGTGTGGTTCCACCATACCCCATGGGGGAATGGTTTATATGCATAATGTGTTTACATGCTTTGATAATTGAAAATG